TTTTTTTTAAATGATAGGTGAATACACCGAATTTTTATTTATATGAACAAACTTCAAAAATGCTATCCAAAGTTATGGTTTCTAGCTGAAATACAAAAGTTTAACCTGTTTTCTATTTTCAGAAAAATATTACGCAACATTTTTTTTTTATTAGTTCAGGTTATTGAGGTAGGCGGATCTTTAAATTCTCCAGTTTTTGTGCAGTCTTTTCGTAGAATTTTATTTTGATATGTCATCGCAGAAACGAATTGAATAGTATCAAGTTAAAATTCGAGCAAATAAATCCAGACATCATTCATGAGTATTTCTGGAAATAGAAAATACGCTAAATTTTTGTGTTTCATATGAAAACGATAGCTTTGAACAATACTTTTGAGGTTTGTTCGTATAAATAAAAACCCGGTACATCCACCTATCATTTAAAAAAGTTAGTTGATAAAGCTAAATCAAATAATTAAGTTATACGAAAAACATTTTGTTAAATGACTTTTGGGACACCCTGTATATAGCATTTTGAAATGGTAAAAATATTTTGAAACGTCAAAATCTTATATATTGCCGAGTCAAGTGTCAGATATAATCTCAAATTCGGATCTAATCCGACAATTTTTTTTATAGTCGGTACCCGGCCAGACCCAGTGAGTTTGCACCTGGATCCATGCTCCGGATTGGATCGGATCTCGAGCACCCAACTGGGTTACAGGACACTAATTCGGTTTGGTTAATAGGCCAGGTTAAAGTTGTTGGCTTGACTCTTACGTTTTGGAAATCAAATGCTGACGCATCATCTTATTACTCAAGAGTACTTTGACCAATTCATCCGATTCCAGCAACAAACGCTTGAAGTGAACGTCAATTTAGTGTTGTAGGACTTACATTGACTGACAGAAGAACTTATCTAAATCCAAAACAATTCGATAATAAACTTTGCGTTCGTGTTGTCCTGAAAATTGATTGTTAGACGTAAATATCCTTGTCTGTTATTATAAATATCACATATTTTCTTTTATTTTAGCCCGTTGCCAGCTCTGCTATGAATTAACTCTCAAAAAAACAAGGCTAGACAACGCCATCTATTATATGATGTTTCTTATAGATCATAAAATTATGACCAATCGAATCACCTACTGCTAGATTTTTTCTTTGGAATCTGGAATATACTTTAAACGTAACTTAGCTGATTGCTCCGATCTAAATAGACTCATTTGCTTATTTATGATTATAAACATGTCTTTATCCTAATTATGAATAATTCCAAAAATGTTTATTTAAATTATTATTTCAAGGTTGTTGTTTTGCTCTAGTATATTTTCATTCTTATTGTTATGTTTTTTTTTATTTATAGTTTTATTAATTTTCGACATCGTTCATCAACATATATTTTAATATGTCCGAGGTATTTATTATGAAATATTTGTATGACACATATATCGATTGATCCTTGATTTCATCTAGCCGGATTCAACAATTAAAAAATCAATCATTACAAAAAATTCATTAATAAGAACTTACGGCGAACGCCCAACTCCATTTCAATTTCCTGGTAATCAAGAAAAAATGTATATTGGATCAGAAGTAAGTAGAAATTTCTAAAATACATATTTCGTTCTTTTACATTTTGTCAAACGATCAGCCACCTGTAGAGAAACAAAAGAGAGAGAAGAGAGAGTCTACCGCCACATTCTTCAATTACGTTTGTGTGTGTTTGTGTACGCTTTTATTTCTGTTCTGCACGTCCTTTTTTTTCAGGTAGGTAATTATTTACGCTTATTTCGTGGAACACTATATAAAAAATATCCATCTTTGTGGCGCCGTGTTGTTACACCAGATGAACGAAAATGGTTAATTGAACTTGGTTAGTTTATGTTTGTTTTTCTTTCTTTTAATTATTCTCATAGGTTTTTTCTTTTTCTTATTTATGTCAAGGTTGTTTGGAATCATCATTACCAACAAATTTAATTTTATTACATGCAAGTGAAGTTGATGAATTATTAATTGGACACGACGAAAAATATCGAGCATTAACAATGAATACAGATTTTGCTATAACACGATCGTAAGAAATTTTATTTGATATAATAATATACGTTTTTTCTTTATTTATTTTAGTGATAAATCGAAACGATCAACATGGTCATCAACATTTGCAACAGATTCTCATAATCTTGAAACTGTACCATCAGCTACACCTATTAATCGAAATCGAACAGCAACAAAGAAAAAAACTTTTCCATTATGGTATAAAATGTTGTATTAAGTTGTTTAATTGATTATTAATAGTTTATGTGATAGTTTTGATCATATGGATACACCAGCTGCTCTTGAAAATGCTCAACAAGCTGAAGATCTTGTTCCTATTCGACTGGATATGGAAATTGAAGGACAAAAATTACGAGATACATTCACATGGAATAAAAATGGTTTATTAATATAAACCAAAACAAAAATGCTATTTTTTAATTTATTTTTTTTTTGTTTTATATAGAACTATTGATTACACCAGAAATGTTTGCTGAAATTCTTTGTGATGATCTTGATTTAAATACTATTGTATTTGTACCAGCCATTGCACAAGCTATACGACAACAACTTGAAGCTCATCATGAGGATTTTGTGGGAGAACATAGTGATCAACGTGTAATAATTAAAGTAAATTGAATTGGAAAAAAGAAAGAACAAGATTACTTTGTTAGCGACCTGATATAGTATGTTTATTTCCAAATAATACAAGGAAATAGTTGATTCCAAAAATGATGTGAAATTTTCAAATTCAGACGTGATTATCTATCCTAGATGAGATTGTTTCGTTGTAGAGAATTTTTACTTTAAACTGAGATTCGTCATCTTCACTTTCGGATTATTCTCTGCTTTCTGTTTTAAATTTGAAGATATTTTATTGGATTTATTTTGTTTAATGTAAATCAGATGAAATTACAGAGCTTTTTTTGTGTTTGCATTCTGTACATGCACCTCTGACTTATAATAAAGTATATCAATAGAACAAGTTGAATTACAAGTTCTACTCTTTCTATTAAAACGTTTATTTGATCTTGAAAATTTCTCTTTGTAATATTTTAGTTGAATATTCAAGTTGGTAATGTAAGTTTAGTCGATCAATTTGAATGGGATATGTCAGATAAACAAAATAGTCCAGAAGAATTTGCTCGTGTATTAGCAGCTGAATTAGGTAAGTTGAATACCAAAAGAAATACTAAAATGTAAATATTTTTTATATTAAAAGGTCTCAGTGGTGAATTTGTAACAGCTATTGCATATAGTGTTCGTGGACAACTTAGTTGGCACCAAAAAACATTTTCATACAGGTTTATTAGCAAAAGAACATTCAATTATTTATATACATGTCGTATCGAAGTTACACCGGTCGACTAAGTTATAACTTCGTCAAAATTGTTGACGAAGTTACTTTAATTCAATCAAATAAAAAATAATTATCAATTACTTGACAAAGTGATATATATTCATAGATAATTTTTCGCTTTAAAAATATGCATATTATTTTTTCGAATGTATAGAAATTGTTAAAAAAAAATTTTTTTGTTTTTGTTAAAACTTTATATGACTATTAATTTATGCTGACGCTACTAATGTTTGTAACTAGAGAAAAAGACCTGTAGAATACTATACTCTGAGTTAAACAACACTGATTTTATATTAATAATAAAAATATTCTATATAAATATCAGTTAAATGCTCACCAGAATCAGATTCACATTGGGTCAAATGAAAACTTCATCTAACTGAATTTCTTTAATACCACGTCTTAGTATTATGCATGTATCAGTCCAGTATAAATTCTACTGATGAAACAAATCTCAAAGAAGAACATATCAGACAAACCCCATAGTAGTATTAGATAACGCAGTAAGAGAAACTTCCAACCTTAGAATGTGATGAGCAAGATTTTGTAAGGGGTTCATTGACAAGACTTATTATACTTAATATTAAAGGACCCGAATATACCTTTTACAGTACACAGTATATCTTGACTGCACTAGAATAAAACCACATTTTGGAGCAAGGATTCTGTTCCCAGAGCTGAATGTTTTGCCATGATCTTGTCTTTACTTTGACTTTCTATGAGGATTTTCACTTATCTTCATTTTTAGTCTTGCATTTAATGGAAAATAAATAACCAGGTTCACAATAAAAAATAAATACAAATCATCCTCGAATAAAATTTATTAAGAAAGCTGTTTCAATTATTTGGTTATGTGCTGTTTAACTCAGAATATAGCATCCTACAGATCTTTTTCTTTAGTTACAGACATTAGTATCGTCAGCATAAATTAATAGTTATATAAAGTTTTAACAAAAAAAAAATTAATTTTTTTTAACAATTTCTATACATTCAAAAAAATAATATGCATATTTTTAAAGTGAAAAATTATCTGTGAATACATAAAACGTTTATCATATTGTCAACTGATAATTATTTTTTATTTAATTGAATTAAAGCAACTTCGACACAGTTATGTAATGAAGTTGTAATTTAGTCGATCGGTGTTACTTCAATTCGACATATATATAAATAAATTTTTTTAATAGTGAAAAATCAATGTCAACAGTAGATGTTCCTATGCGTACAAATCATGATGCTGAACAATATTGTCCATTTTTAGAAACATTAACTGATGCTGAAATGGATAAAAAAAATCGTGATCAAGATCGAAATACAAGGTAAAAAATTACTTTCAATGAAAATAAATACTCATTTTATTCTTTTTAGACGTATACGTCGTGTAGCTAATACTGGTTCAAATCGATAAGCATTAAATTTTATTTACTTTATTGTTGTTTGTTTGTCTGTTTAATAATTTCAAATTTTTTGAAACAGAAAAAAAGAAACAAGTGTCATACTTTTTATTGTACAAGATTATGTATATGTATTGTAAATGAAAAAGAATGCAACATTTTTTTTTAATTTTCAGACAGAATTTAAAAAAAGAATGGTCTTACCATCAAAATTTCCTCGTGTACTAACAGAAGCATCTCGTACATTTGATTTAAAAGATCCTCAAATACGTTCATTATTATTATCATTAGGTACACGTGCATTAGCATTAGTTGGTTCAATGGTATTTAGTTATTTATTAATACGTTATGCCATAAAACAACTTGATCCAACATATGAAGAAAAAAAACGTCAAAAAGAATTAGCAGAAATTATATCAAAGAAAATGAATTTACCTCAAGCAATTGTAAATAATTTTAATGAATATGAAATGTGTCTTTTAACAGATTTAATTAATCCAACTGATATTAATGTTACATGGCAAGATATTGGTGGTTTAGATGAAATTATTGATAATGTTCGACAAACAGTTATTTATCCATTACAACATCCAGAATTATTTAATCAATCAAAATTATTAACAACACCAAAAGGTGTGTTACTTTATGGGCCACCAGGTTGTGGAAAAACAATGTTAGCTAAAGCAATTGCTAAAGAAGCAGGAGCAAACTTTATTAATCTTCAAGTATGTGTAAAAATATTTAAAAAAAAAAGAAACGAAACGAACTTTTTGAATGTAAATATTCTCATGTAGAAAAATGATTTCTTTATTGATATGCGTCTTATAAAGGTTATTTTATAAATATAAACCAATAGGAAAATTTTCAAACATTTATAGTATTTGTATTAACTCTTTCGGAGCCGGATGCACATATATGTACTTTAGTTTTAATTTAACTAGTAACTGACTTCAGCATATCTGTTATAGTAGAGTCGGTTTTCATTGAAAGAAATGTGGTTTATTATAGAAGCTCACTGCTATCTAATCATCTGGCGACTACGTCACTATTCTCTTATGATACTTCGATGACAAAGACTGTCCTACAGACCGTGGATTCTGAAACTATTAGTTGTAGTATGTTCTCATTCACCTTTCTTTCTTCCTGTATTTAGACCCGTTACTTTTACACTGTTTGCGTAGTTCGTCGATGAATGACGACGCCTACTATCAATTTCTCTTGTAGTATTCTTGTTATCGTCATACGAGTTGTATTGCTTCTAATGCATTCTGGTTTTGCCTATCATCCATAAATAGATATATTTATGCGCATTGTCTCAGAATTTCAAAAATTGATATTTCTTTTCACAGTAAAGCCATTCCCAAAGGAGTACTCTATTAAACATAGCTTTTCAAGTTTTCTTAAGATCCAATTCCCTGTCGAAAATCGTGATTTTCGTCAAAAAAACCGATTTTGACACAGTTGAATAATCCTCAATGTGTAATACAGTTTACTGAATTTATTATGCTTTTTCCACGGTTTGTTTTCTATTCGATTTTATCACAAAAAAGAAGCTAGGATTTCTAGAACAAACTTTGTTTCGTGTTTTTCTATTTGTTCTTATTCATGTGTCAAAGAGTTTTATATGTTAAAAAGCTCGGTGAGGTTTTTAATTGAAGCAAAAATTGTACTCTACAATTTAACAGAGCCTGAATTTTCATTTTCGACTTTTTGAAAAAAGAAGTGAATGTTTTTTTTTCCCGTAGAGGTACCCTAATTTTGCAAGAGAAAACTTTATCAGAAGTAAAGAAACAATACTTTGAAATATTAGACTTTATTAAATTATAGCGGCAGATCTTTGCTGCATTTTAAAACTAACCAGAATCTTATATCATTAGATTTCAAGGAGGAATCTCTTTTACGTGGAAATCTAGCTTTTGACCCTTGATGTTATGACAGCCCATGAACAACTTAATATTTTCAGCCAAAATTTTTACTGTGAATTTTTAAGACCCGAACATATGTTTTGAAATTTTGAGCCAGACTGGTTATCCTGAGGCAACAATATGTTTTTGACAGAGAGATAGGTCTTCAGTATTTCACACAAAATTATTATTATGCTAAGATTTTATTAACTTAATATTGTTTTTTCTTTCAAGGTAACATCCCTATTGGACAAATGGTATGGAGAATCTCAAAAACGTACAGCTGCTATATTTTCTTTAGCTAAAAAACTACAACCAACCATTATCTTTATTGATGAAATTGATTCATTTATGCGAACACGTCAAAATGATGATCATGAATGTACACGAATGGTATAGAAAAACTTTAAATAAACATATAAAAAAACTACATCATATTTTTCTTTTTAGGTTAAAACTCAATTTATGACATTATGGGATGGTTTAGAAACTGATGATAGTAATCCATTATCAAATCGTATTCTTATTATAGGTGCAACAAATCGTGTACAAGATTTAGATGCAGCTATTTTACGTCGTATGCCAACACGTTATCATATTTCATTACCAAATTTAAATCAACGTACTAAAATATTTCAATTAATATTATCAAATGAATTACTTCATACAGATGTTGATCTTGAACAATTAGCACAACAAACATCAAATTATACAGGTAGTGACATTAATGAAATATGTCGACAAGCTGCTATGCAACGTATTGTTGAATTATGTAATCAACCTTCGATAACGGATGAAGAAAATTCTATATTACAATTAAGATCTATTACACAAGCAGATTTTCTTGAAGCTCTAAGAAAAGTACGAGATAATCATCAACATCATCAATCATTTAATAAATTATTCCTTGATTGATTTTTCTTTTAAATGTGTTTGTTTATTTTTTTGTCGAAATTTTTGAAATAAAACCTCGCCTACATCTTTTCATATGTAAGATGATTTCTCTTTTTGATCATTCGATTTGTAGATAGAATTAAAAACAATGCCAAATAATGAGAATTCATCTCCATCAAAACGATTTTCATTATCTTCTATAATACCTACTCAATATGTTGTTATTGGTTCTATTGTTCTCATCGGATTATTCAACATGTATAAAGGTTTATTTCGATTTTCATTTGGATTTATCGGTGGTATAGGTATTGGTGCAGTGCTTGGCTTTGTTTTTGCTGATAGTCCTATGGGACAATTTATATTAAGACAACGTTCAAAACCTCAAGAAACTTAATCCTTGTGATATTCACATTTTGTTTTTGTTTGTAATTTTGTAGTACTAATCAAAGTTAAACCCACGATAAAACAAATATACTAGCTATTGAATGACTTGATTGAAAATATTTTATTATTTTTTACAATTGATAGATTTTGAATCATAAGAAATTCAAAAATTAACTGAGCTATGCAAGAATAATTGACTTCACATTTAAACTATTATGTTTCACCTTATTAATAATGGAAACTATAGAGACAGTTATGATTAATTGAATTTAATTTTTCTGGCGGTCTGCTAATCGCTTACAAGAATTTCTCGTGTCATTTTTATTTCATAAGATAATTCAATTTAATCTATAATGAACTATCATTAATCATTTAGTTTCTTTTGTTTTTTTTTGTATTTTAGATCTCTTAAAATACCTTTCAATTAAGAATGACATCAGATATGGAATTCCAATCATTCGAAATTGGTCAACGAAAACGTATTGCTTTAGTTGCACATGATAATAAAAAAGGTGAATTACTTGAATGGGTTAAACGAAATCAGGATCAATTACTTAAACATGAACTTCATGCAACTGGTACAACAGGATCTTTAATTGAATCAATGTTAGGCATTCCAATAATTAGATATAAATCAGGTCCATTAGGTGGTGATCAACAACTTGGAGCTAAGATAGCTGAACAATGTATCGATATACTCATTTTTCTTGCTGATCCACTTCAAGCTCAACCACATGATTCTGATGTTCGAGCATTAACACGTTTAGCAACTGTTTGGAATGTTCCAATGGCATGCAATTTATCAACGGCTGACTTTCTTTTTACATCTTCATATATGACTTCTACATATACACGTATTGTGCCGACATTTGAGCGTTATTTAAAACGTGATATTAATACTAATCTGAAAAATTCAGAGAGCTCCCATGTGTAGGCTAAGAAACTGAGGCATTGATCAAAAATTTATATTTTTCATTTTTTATAGACATTAGAAAATTTTATCAATCATCTAAAACCACCAAATCCAAATGTTTAGCTTATTTCAATATTTTAGAGTAAAGTTAGTCTTGATTGACTTTTCAGCACTATTTTCTAATTATCAAAAAAATCTTGATGAGTTCTCTCATCAATGTCTATTAGGATTATACTTCTACAAATCAGACAATTTTTTCATGTAGGATAACAAAAAGGATAACGCATCAACAATTGATTAAAATGAATTATTGAAAATGTTGTATATCATTTATTTTACTGAGCTAATATGAGTAGAAAAGGTTATAATTTAGCAGTCTATAATATTCATTTGTTGATAGTATATCTACCGTTATACTTCGAAATCAAATGAAGTCAAGCTAAATTTTTGATATATTATGTAACTTTTGATTCTCTACAAAATAGTAAAAAAAACCAATATCGAATAATAAGTTTACCTTCGAGGCAATATGTTGTTTACATTATTAATTGACAAGTAAGCAGCCTCAAGGAAAACAATCTCGGGAACCTTTCATTGTTCTTGATTGATGACAATTTTCACCTCGAAGAAATTAGACCTTCATTCTAGCTAATTAGAATTATATAGACAGTTCTTTCGAAAAAAAAATAGTTTCTTCGCGAACTTGGATCATAATCGTCTATATTGATTATGCATAGGACGCTGATCACAGTCATATGAATAAAGGTCGTTCTTAATTATAATTGAATGGTATAAGGTTGGCCTCTCGATATCATATACTTACGATGAATCCTCTAATTCTTCATTAAAAGGATGCTCGATACACTCTGCTAGATTACAATTGATAACGAATTTCAATCATAAGATTTACCTGTTTATTGATAGTGTACGCCTTGTATTGTCCGAAGGTCGTCTTTTATTTGTTTTTCTCTAGGTTTTTTTTATAGAATCAAAAGCTACATAACATGTCAAAAAGGCAACTTGGTTTCGTTTGACTTTGAAATATGATAGTAGATTTACTGTCAATAAATGAATATTATAAATGATATATAACACTTTCAATACCTTTTTTTTCGTCTGTTAATGATCTATCTTCTGGTATACTGCATGAAAAAATTCTCTGATTTGTAGAAGTACAACCCTAGTAAACATTCATGAGACAATTAACCACTATTTTCTTGATAATAAATAATACTGAAAAGTCTAACAAGACTAACTTTACTCTAAGCTATCGAAATGAACTAAAAAATTTGTATTTGGTGGTTTTAAGTGATGGTCTTTCGAATGTATATAAAAAATGAAAAAAATAAAATTTTGATCAGTGCATTTGTATATCGGTAACTGTCAGCATTCTCAGAAAACATCTCGTAGCAAATAATCTCGCGTTCAATTTTTTTTTCTGATTTAAATTTTATACATGTAATCAAAATATTAGTTATTGTATTTTAATAAAAAAATATTTTATTTAGTCAAAAATAATATATTTCAATACATAGGCAATTGTTCAATCAAACAAATAAATTTATTTCCTGAATAGAGACTATAAATCATAAGAAAAAAGAAAAAAGAATTCATAATGAATCTTATTATAATCAACAAATAACTTCCTTGAATCAAATATAAGTTTCCTGCAAAAAAAAAATTCAATATAAAAAATTCTACTTTGAATAGCGACATCTAATATATTATTTATTATTCAATACAAAAAAATTGCTTGACAAATATTATTACACTCTTCAAAGGTTTGCGAGTTATTTTTTATGTTATTGATATAGAAATGTAATATATACAATTTACATTGGTTAATATTTTCTCCAATGATCATTTAAAGAAGTAGAATTTTACAAGCAAAATGACTAATAAGTCTTTTTTCTTGTTTTGTTCTGTTATGGTTCTAAGCCATTCTTTATATTTATCTTTGTTTATTAGATCCGATGCAATATCCATAGACTAATTTATATTCAAGCTCAGTTCTTCTTGCTTATTTTGATACTTAATAGATAAGTACAGATGGCAAATGCATCATCAATAATAGAAAATAAAAACCTTGATCAATTTTATCCAAATGTTTTGTCAAAAGAACCAACTGTTCGTTTAGAATGTTTTTCTATACTTGAAAATTATTTATCGGACATAAATAATTCTATTGATTGTGAAGATTTAACAGGTTTTATTAATGGATTACTTCAATGGATTGGATGCAGTAATTATCGAGTATGAGTTTTCTATCAATTATAATCTTATCTATTATAAAATATTGTATTTAGATTTCGTATAATGGTCTTCGAATAGTAGAATTATTAATTGAAAGATTAGATAAGAATGAATTTGAACAATATCTTGATAATGGTACAATTTGTTAAACAAAACTTTGAAATTATATTGAAAATATTCTTTTATATTTAGTTTTATTAGTAATAATAGATCGATTGGGTGATGGAAAAGATCAAGTAAATAAAAAAAGAAAGAAAGAATATTAAAATAGAATTTATTTGATTTGATTTAGATCCGAGACGCAGCTAGTCGTCTTCTATTAAAATTAATGAAAAAATTTACTCCACAAGTACAGAGTTTTTTTTTATTCAAATATAAAAAAATGAACTGTTGGTTCTTTTTCTTTCATCTAGCGTATTTGGGATTTCATACAACCATTATCATTTGAAAATAAACAATTTCGTATAAAAGAAGAAAGTCAACGATTACTAATACAAACATTAAACGAGTATGTAATTAAAAAAAAAAAAACAAGATTATCTACACATACCGATTGATATATATTTTTTTTAATATTAAAAAAAAGAAAAGAAATGACATTGTTCGTCAATCTTAACATAGAAATAACCGGAAGAACAAGTTTCCGATGTGAAGAAGCTAAGGAAAAAAAAAAGAAAACTTTTTTTTTTATCTTACGACATTCAATTATCAACATAGAGTATGCAGTACGACACACTCTAATATTAACTATCATTCTTTGAAGGTGTTCGTTTTTTTTTCTGTCTCAATATGAGTAATAGTGTACTTAAGCTCTCTGTTTATTATTACAACGTTTGTTAAGAACTTTACTGAAAAAAAAGGCATAATGAACCCCGAAAGGAATTGTTTGAGCGGTAAACAAATATACGTGTGTATGCTTTTTATTTGAATATACATAGAATCAACTGTTACTCTGACTCTTCTTTGTATTGTCTTCTATTCTTATAGACACTTATGCATGTCTGTGTCCTTCTGCCATCCATAATTAAAATGATGGTATCGTAGAAAGAAAACAGAAAGCACGAGCAAAAAAAAAAAAAGAAAGAAAAGAAGGAAGAAACAAATGTACGAACAGCTGCCCGACGGTCAACGACCGTGAGTAGCAATACGCGGCATGATCAATATACGTATGGCAGAAGGAAAAAGAAAGTCTATTCCTACTGTCTAATTTTACCCACATCGAATACAGACACAAAGAAAAAAAGTCTTTGTGCTCTTCTTCTCGCTCTTTTGTTTTTTCTCTTTCTCTCATTTTTTTTTCTCGCATTATACGTCACGAATATCAAACATATTCCAGAGTAACAAAATTAAAGATTAGCGTATGGATGATAATACAAAACGATTAAAACTATGCTAACAAATCAATCAAAAACATTTCCAAATAAATATCCTTCAATTTCAGAGTAAGTTCATTATTATCATATTAGTATTATTATTATCATCGAATCATTCACATAAATAATTTTTTCCAAATAAATAAAGCTAATAAACTACATATAATACAAGGAAAAAAAATTATTCGTAATATCCAACGATGGATACGTTTCATTAATGAACAATGTTTTATCATTAATAATCCACTTTGACGTTGACGTTGTTTTTGCATTACGTTTTTTTTTTGTTTCAATCAATATAAGTATTATATAGTAACTATGGGATACCTTGACTATTATTTTGTTCATTCGAGAACGAAGATGCAACTCTATTCTATATGTATATATATATATAGATATCGAGAAAGACAACGTAATATGTATGAAGCAACGAGATAGGCTATATAATGATCATTATAGGATGTTACGCAAGATAAGAAATGACATATCTCGCTCGCTAACGATCGCCATCGTCACTATCCATTTTCTCTAAACGAGTGTTACTGTTGTTGTTATTGTCATCAAAAGGATTATAAATCTTTTCTTTGTATATTGCGGTTTGTCATCGTTCTCATTGTGTCTATGTGTACTAACGGCTGTTAGTCAATCTATATAATAGCAGGTGATTTCCTATTTACTGTTGATAGTGGTTGTGATCAATAGACAAAAGAAGAAGACAATAGAAAGGATTAGACTTTTGTTGTTTTGTTACTGTATTGTCTAGTTGAAATGAGACGAACTTATTCAACACAGACTATCAATGATAGGTAAGTGAAATAAATGAAAAACAAAACAGTTTGTAAGTTTTTCTTTTAGTTCATATTATTGTTGTTATGAATAAATGAAGAATCTTATCATAATGATTTTTCTTTTTTTTGTTTTTTACTTTAGATTTGGTGCATCAACAATTCAATTGAATAAACTTGTTCCATTAATTTGTAAACTTGTATCTGATTCAAATGGCACTGTAAATATTTTTAAATCAAATTCATTGAATTTATTCGTATAGATTTATTTGTTTTTTTTTTGTTAACTTTAGGTACGTCAACAAGCAATTGATACACTCGTAGAAATTTATCGTCATGTTGGTGAAAAAGTTCGTGGTGATATAGCCAAACGAGATATACCAGAAGCCAAGTAAATGATTATTTCACTTTTTACTATTTTTCTTTCTTTTTTTTTTGTTATTCTTTAAATACATTATTTGTTATTGTTAAGATTAAAACAACTTTACGATAAATTTGATGATGTGGTTGCAAGCGGTCGCATGATTGCTAAAACGTCTGATTCAACAGATGGTAATACTTCATCTTCTTTAGCCAACGGTAAGAAAAAGAGTTTTAATAAGATTATGTATTACTGATACCATAAATATGTGTCTGGCAAGGCATTTATAGTTTATTGTTTATCTACATTCGCACGTGTGTATATATGTATATTCATATTCATCCTTTTGTATAAAAAGAAATTCATCGTCGACACTTCTCGTTGGTTTTTTTTTCGTTCAAACACCTTATGTGTTGTATGAGACAAAAAGAAAGAGAAAAGTACGCGTAATATGTGCGTCAAGTGATGTTCGATCGATTTGAGTAGTAGTGTGAATAGAGGTGACCTGGGTGACTGCGGTCGTTCATTTTTTTTTTATTTTTTTTTTCTTCTCTTTTGTCGTCAACGTCTTTTACTATTGCTGACCGTTAATCGAAATGGAAGATCATATTTGCATTGTATTAACTCATTCATCAGCTTCATTGAAGGTGTAAGGTGTATGTCTATATATATATGTGTGTTCATCACACGACGTAAGATATAAATGAAGATAAGCTGATCGTGACTCCATATATGTGAGTACAGAAAAAAACCTGCATACGAAAAAAAAGAGGGTGTTTGAGGGACACGCATATATATCCATACATATATGTGTACATACGACTAACTACCTTACCATCCGACACCATCGTACTTGAGCATCGGAGAGATTGGGCTTTTTTTTCTAACAGTATACGTTACGAATAAATAAATTTAAAGTATTATGGATCCATCCTTATTGGAACAATTTCTTGGTCCATCATCAACTCAATTCCAATTACCACCATTAAATGAAGATGAGAATGATGAGTTACATCCATTACTTAATGGCGGATTTCAACGATTGAGTCATACGAGAAAATCGTTGCCAGGTAAAACAAATTTTGTATTTATGCAAGGTCTAACCTATGTACTTACACATATTTATTAACCTGATGTGTGCGTATTTATTTCAATTTCTTCCTCTTTCGCTTCATATATTCAGTGTTTAAATTTTGTCCGTCCTTCTCTTTCTCTCTTATTTTTTCAATCATATCAAGGAGTAATCGCTTTTTTGAACTTATCAATTGATCGTTTTTTTTCTTCTCTTTCTCATACACTTGTGTGTACGTTCGAAAATTTTTAACAACCTGAGGCAACGACAAACAGTAAAGGGATGGTGATGTGTATATTATATATATATAGTTTTCATTGATATTTAAACTTCTACATACAATCATAAGAATAAAACACGAAGAGAAAGAAAGTACATCACATCTACAGATGGTGCCTATTACAGATATCATGTTTTTGGCTACGAAACCTCGTAAGATTTTTTCTGTTCTTTACGTCTTTTTTTTTTGCTTTACTAACAGAATATATTATTTGGTTGTTATATTATTAAAAAAAAGAGAGTTTATTTTTAGCTCGTCCTAAACCATCATCATCAACAGTTAAGTCTCGATTAAATTCTGATAATGGTACATCATCTCGATCAAGACCAACTGCTGGAATTCCAACACGAAATGTTGCTACATCAATATCTGCAGGTAAATAAATGAAAAACTTTAAATTATTATATATAGATATATAACAAGAAAAAAAAATTGGGCACATAGAAATAGATATAGATACAGTTTCATCTCCTTATTCTTCTTCTTCAATGGATCGTCGTTCACGTTCTTCATCGGGAATACCACGTCCATATTCATCTGCATTATCAACAAGAGGTATTCGATCTTTTTTGTTGTATCGTGTCACCTCTCGTATATGATCATTAATCAATCTCAACTGCTGTTGTGCTGTCGTTTACATCTGCACCAGTCATTCTTTTTTATTTTTCTTCCTCTTTCTTTTATTCTTTTGCATTCTATGACATATATATCTATATATATACATGTATTTGTATGTGTGTGTGTGTTATTGTTTCACTAAGTCACATTATTCAGTTTACGTGCATGTACACATTTCTCTATCGTTGATGACGTAAGATTTGATCATGAACCGCAAACCAATTCGTATTGTAACAAGTAGAAGAAAAAGATAAAAAAAAATATATACAATAGGTCTTTTTATCTTTTTTGTTTTTTTTATATTTAGCTGCCGCTAGTGGTGCAGTTGATGATGCTATATTCGAAGACGCATTCAATTCATCTCATGCTATACCAGTAAAAATGAATAGCTTATTTGTATATATATACATGTATATGTTTATTTTATTTTATATTATTCAATTTAGTTTTCATCCGGTAAAGAAGTTGAAAATCAATTATTAAGCATTCGAGATATATTAGCTGATACAAATAATGATTGGGAAAAACGTGTTGAAGCTGTAAGAAAGAAAGAAAAACAAAGCGATAAATTAGAAATTTTATTTTAATTTATATTTAGCTTAAACGATTACGTTCAATAATAGCTGGTAATGGTGATCAATATGAAGAATTTTTTCGTAATCTTCGTCAACTTGATTTACCATTAATAGCAACTGTTAAAGATTTACGTTCACAAATTGTACGTGAAGCTTGTATTACATTAGCATATATGTCAATACGTTTAACAAATCGTTTTGAACGTACAGCTGAAGGTATTATGCCAGCTATGCTTAGTTTAATACAAAATAGTGCGAAAATTATTGCAACAAGTGGTGCTGTTGCTATGCGTTTTATTGTTAGTAATACGCAATCAAGCAAATTAATTCCACTTATATTAGCTGGAATTGAATCAAAATCGAAAGAGATTCGAAGGTTTGAAAAAAGATTTTGTGTTTTTTTTTCTATAAATTAAAAAAAATTATATTTTATTTTAATTAGACATACATATGGATTATTAGTTACTATGCTTTCACAATGGGATTTTATTTA